CAAGCTTCTCTAATGGCTTCCGTAGAAGATCAACACAACAACCAAGTCTACAACGATGACGATCTCGATGATGACGTTGTTGACGAAGAAGATGATGACGTCGACGTCGATGATGATGACGATGAGGATTCCACTTCCTCTCTTCCTGCTCCTACTCCTGCTCCTGTTGATCAACAAACGGTTACTATAGCCGTTGTTGGTGTCCCTGCGCAGCGGATCAACGAATTCGCCGCCGTTACTCCGCCTCCGACTGCCGCTACGATTGTGGAAGAAAAAAAGCCGTCAGCTATCGATGACTCTCGTAAGCTTTTTCAACGGCTGTGGACGGATGAAGATGAGATTGAATTGTTACAAGGGTTTCTGGAATACACGACACAGCGAGGTGGAATAAATTCGTCGTCGCATCATCATGATACGACTGCGTTTTATGACCAGATCAAAAGCAAGTTACAGCTGGATTTCAACAAAAATCAGCTAGTAGAGAAGCTGAGGAGGTTGAAGAAGAAATATCGGAATGTAATGAGCAAAATGGCATCTGGTAAAGACTTTGTCTTTAAAAGCTCTCATGATCAAGCTACTTTCGAAATCTCTCGAAAAATCTGGAGCAATGCGGTCCCCATTGTCGTCCGCGGCGGCGGTTCTGCAGCACCACCACCACCAGAAGATGGCGGATTTGACGATGAGGATTCTCACCTTAACCTTAACGCTAATTTCGTTGACCACAGCCATAACGGAATTGACATTAAAACTCCTAGGTCGAGGAAAAGGTCTAGAGGAGGAGCAGTTAAAGTTGAAGAAAAACACGGTTTTATTCAACACTACTATCTGCCATCTCCATCTGGTGGAGGGACAAATATGTCCTCTCCCGCACCCGCACCTGCACCTGCACCAGGGTTCACTCCCTTTCCAATGGCAGCCCCTCAGGCCACGGCCCCTCCCACGACCACAGCTGCAGTAGCAGCATCAGCTGCTGCTTCAATACCTAGTTTGATCGAGGAAACAGTGAGGAGCTGTTTATCACCCATTTTCAAGGAGTTGTTAAACAATGTGACTAATTTGAGTGGATCGAGAAGTTTTGGGTTTGGAATGGCATTGAGTCCAATCCCTTTAGGATTTGGCAGCAGCGGTGCAATGAACTCTGATATGATGGCTGACGAGAAATGGAGGAAGCAACAAATGCTAGAATTGGAAGTTTATTCGAGGAGATTAGAGCTTGTTCAAGATCAAATAAAAGCACAGTTGGAGGAACTGAGATCCATGAGCACTTAGACGATGGCCAAAGATGGTGGTTCCTTTTTATTTATACTCTTTAAATAATTGTAGTTGATGATATTACCAGATTGCTGAAGAAAATAGCTAATTGTTCTAGTTAGATAATTGTGAAGGCCTGTTAGATATTTAACTTTTGGTGGTTGAATAATTGAGTTCTATTTTTCTCTGTTCTTTGACAGGCTGCTTGTTTTCAAACTTAGTGCACATAGATGCACGACTCTTTGTATATGGGAATGGATTAATAGAGGCCACTTGTTGAGTTAATCTCGATTCTTGATCTCTCTGTTTAAAGTATATATTTCGGTGTACGCATTACCTTTCTGCAGTTGGTTGTCTGTGTTATCATTGCATTCCAAGAAAACAAATTTCCTTTATGTGGGGATTGTTGTTTCATCTTGATGTAAAATTAACAATTCTGTTAGTAATGAACGTCTTTCTGAAGTTCTGGTGATTATTTTGCTCAATAAATGGGCACTACTTAACCTATACGCCATGAGCAAAATCAAAAGCTCTAGATGTGATCTGCAGTTTGCTTCTATAGGCTCCATTACTACCAACGAGTTGGGAACAGTGATAAGATCACTCGGTCAAAATCCCACTGAAGCTGAACTACGGGATATGATCAACAAAGTTGATGCTGATCAGAATGGTACTATTGATTTTCCAGAGTTCTTGAATCTGATGGCACGGAAGATGAAGGTATAGGAATTCTAGCTATTTTAATATTATGTTGCAATTCGATATGGATTCCTAAAGCGCCCACGAAAGTGTGCTTTTTTGCATGGCTAGCAGCGAGGGGAGTGATTTTGACTGCTGAGAATCTGCGAAAGAGGGGAATTACACTTGTTAGTTGGTGCTATATGTGTAAAAGTTCGGGGGAAGAAGTTGATAATCTTTTGTTGCATTGCCCTGTATCCTTGACTTTGTGGAAGGTGATCCTGAACCTTTTTGGTGTTCAATGGGTGATGCCAAGCACGGTAAAGGAAATGTTATAGATCAACTTCCCGGATTTTTTTCATGGAGTTTGAAATGTAGCAGTGTGTGCTGGAGTTAGAATTTTAATGGAGTTTTGAACAGCCATAGTTCAAACTCCAGCATTTTTCCATGGAGTTTGATTCTGTGGACAATCCAAAACAATTTGATTCACTGAACCTTCAAAGTTGCCCTCCTCCTCCATGGAGTCATGTAACAGACCCTCCAAATCTTCCACTCAATTGCATGCCTAAATATTGGTAGTGAAAAAGCAACAAAATAGATATGTTTAAGAAGCCGAGAGGAGCCAGCAGATTCAAATTCTGTTATGCTGGTGCGCAAAGCAAGCACATGACGATCGCGTAAATCTTTGATCTGCATATCATTGACCATGTTGAACTTGAAATTTTGCTCATGGACAAGCTGGGATCAAAAGGTAAAAAGAGCACTCTAAGAAGTGTCATATTTCTACAATATTTTGAGAGGACCCCTACTGATATTGACTGGCCTATTGATAGGCTATAAGTAGGCTGTCCCACATTAAATCCTATAAATTTAAGCAGTAAGTAAGGAGCAACATAAATTGAATGAAAGCCATCAAAATCTTTCTATACTAACAGAATTCCTGAAAATTTAAATTAATGCGGCTTTCGTGGTGCAACGAGAAACAAATAAGCTAAAGACTTCATTTAATTTTTCAGAAGTAGAGATTTTTGTGGAGCTTGATTGATGCCTTTCAGTCATGAGGGATCAATTATCGTGGTAGATTCAGTCAATAACTGTGCAGTTGGGTTTTTGGTTGAAAATTAAGAGTAATGGAAACTGGTAAGAAGAAGAAAATAGGTCTTCCGCTTTTAGTTTAGAGGTATTTTGTCCAATTTGTTATTTAATGGTTGAGTTTATTTACTTTTAAAATTGTAGCTAAATCGTAATTGGCAATCAGAAAAATGACTACTCCATTAATTATAAAGTGGCAAATCACCATTGTTCAAGTTTTAAGAAGTGGGAAGGGGCGGATTTATAGGGAAAATTATGGGGCACGTGAACCTATGATTTTTTTGCAAAATTAGATATTTTATTTATTTATTTTTTAAAATTAATATAATATTAACTGTTGGCAGTTGACACTCATGCTTCAAGAAAGATGAATGGTGCACTTGGTTTAAGGTTGAGTTATTTACCAAGAAGAAGAGGTATCAAGTCCCACTTAATACGTTTTTTCCTTTTTTTTTTGGTAGTATACTAATGTATGTTGAAGGTAGGGTTATTTACCAAGAAGAAGAGGGATTAAGAATCAGTTAATACGGTTTTTTTCTTCTTTTTTTAATAGTATACTCATGTATTAAAAATTCTAAATCTGCCTATGAAAGTGGGTCTTGAATTTCGAAAATGAAAATTGAGTAATTGAAAAACCTCGGGAACATTGACAAATACAATATCCTTGCAAGCTTGAAAAAGTGAGTCTTACATTTTGTATAAGAAAATTGAGTTTAAATGAAGTAAGTGTTATTGGAAAAGCTTGAAAATATGGCATATAAGAAGATTGGCAGTTCAAACTTCAATTCTACATGGTCAAAAACATAGGCGTGATTGTCGAAAGTTTGGCCTTGGCAATTCCAAACTTCATGTGCATATATAGGAAGTTTAGCCTCGGCAAGCCAAACTTTAGGCTCGATTGTCAAATTTCATGTGTGATTGTCCGAAGTTTGCTTGCGCCAATAATATGTCAGCCTCACGTAGGTCGGTAAGTATTTATAAAATGACTAAACTTGAAAACATTTAAAAAATTTAACTACTCCCTCCGTCTTGTATTATATGTCGTGTTTCTTTTTTACACGCCCTTTAAGAAATATTAATTAGGAAAGGAATTAAACTATTTTATCCTTATTTATGTCTTAAGATATAATCTCTTTTCATTGAATATTTATTCTATTTATGTGTTATCTCTATCTTCAAGAACAATTATTATTAAGGGTAAAAAAGGAAAAAAATAATCAATTTTATCTTGAACTTCTAAAATAATAAATAATTTGAGATAATTATTTTTAGTAACCATGACTATTAATATGAGACGGAGGGAGTATAATATAGGCGAAATATATAAAGTGCATCTTTAAGTTGTCCCCAACGATCGTTTGGCATATGATCAAATAGACACCTCTACTTAGAAGAACTGTATCTCTTAAACCCATGACAAAATTTGTGTGTTACACTCAGATCTGATCGCGTGAATCTCTTTAAAATTAGCTATCTTTTTTTTGCTCTCTCCCTAAAATCAATATGGACTCCGCCTAATTCATACCTCTTTCTTCTCCGATTTTCCTCCACCATCCTCTGCCACAAACTATCTTCTCCACCTTCCACCTCCATGCTAGAAAAAAAGCAAATCAAGGACACAACTTTCATCACCACCACAATCAATGTCAACCACTAAACAAAATTACAAACGCAAAAATTATATATCTCCACCGTTACACCACCACAGAACCATTATCACTTCCTTTAATTTTCTTTATTGACCCCAAATCTGGAGAAAAAAAACTCATCTAAAACCTTCCAATTTCACCACAATTAGATCCGATAGTTGGTTTTTTACGGTGATAATATATCAATCAAGTGGGTTGGTACGATTTTTGATTTGGTTTTGAGAAGGAAAAAAAGAGTGAAGCAGGCTTTGGCAGTCGGCGGCGTAAGGGTTGATATACAACCAAATAATTGAGTTGGGGCTTCAAAGAGCAGCAAACTATGAGGCCATTGTAGAAAGGAAAGGCATCAAAGAGAATAAGAGCAGTAGTGAAAGCAAAGCAAAGAGGGTTTTAATGTGACAAAGCAGTGATTGCCTTTGCGAGAGAGGGGGAATGATTGGGAAGGAGAAATTAAACTTGTGAGAGAAATGATTGTTAAAGGTTAGAGCTTTTGTGGTTATTTTGGTTGTGTTACAATGGTGGAAGCGTCTATGATGTTAAAGGGAGAAGAAATACAACTTTTTTTTTTTGCTCGGAGGGAGAAAGGAGAGTCTTTTTCTTATTTTTTAATTAAATAAATACATGTATTTTTTAATATAAACTATAATATATTCAAGAAATACACATGTCATTCAATAATTTGTCAGATTGACATGTCATCAGCTAGTGTAACTCACACATGAGTCTTGTTGAATTCGAGTGTTTACCAGACACACCAGTATCTGTCTGGTCATATGCCAAGTTAAAGTGTTCAAATAATCGTTGGGGGCAACTTAAAGGGGCGTTTTATGTATTTCGCCTATAATATAACTTAAACGGTGGTCGCAAAGTTACCTTTGCACTTACCCTCATGAAAATTCCAATCTCTTGTCTTTCTAGAAGGCTATACTGCCACCTCATCATTTTTCCTCATCTAAAAAGTCGAGTTTATTATTCAAATGATTACTCAACTATCCCAAATTATCTGCTAAAGTCACTTTTTTTTATTTGTAACAACAAAGTCACTTAACTATGCATATAGCACTCAGAAGACCACTCAACTAGATTTTCCAAATTTTTGATTGTCAAATACCTATTTTATTCTCTAATTAATCCATTTTTTAACTTTTTAATTATTATAATTTTTTCTCTTTTTAATCTATATTGTGGACTTATCTATAGAATAAATATATTTTATTTTATAAAATAAAAAATAAAAAATTAGTTTGTAGCTCATATAATGACGGAATAATAATATAATTGAGCATAATTTTCAAGAATATATAATGTATATTATAAAAATACCTTTATTTAAATAATTATTTTTATATTACATGCATGGAATATATGTTTTACAACCTTTATTTTCTTTCATTCTCAATTGTGTAAATAAATTATTGAATTTTTGTTGTTAATACTAAAATTATTATTACGAACAAATTATTCTAATTAATTTTTTACTATGCTCATTATTTTGTTATTCCAGTATTATATATGCTTAAATACTTTTTTCTTTTTTTTATTTATAAATAAAATTTATTTATTCTATAGGTAAGCCCATAATATAAATTAAAATGAAAAAGATTATAATATTAAAAAGTTAAAAAAACAAAAAGAAGATAAATATTTATAATTTAGAGGGTAAAATAGGTATTTGGAAATCCAAAATTTAGAAAATCTAGTTGAGTGACCTTCTGAGTGCTATGACTTATGAGCATAGTTAAGTGACTTTGTTGTTACAAAAGAAAGAAAAGTGACTTTAGCAGATAATTTGGGATAGTTGAATGACCATTTAAGTAAGGGGGAAATTCAAAAATAGTCATATTTACATGTGGTCATTCAAAAATAGCCACAGTTTCAAAAGTAATCGAAAATTTAGCCACTTTTCATGTAAAGATAAATCTGAACAAAAATATTATTCAAAATTCAAAAAATACTCCAGCATAATATACTGGAGATCCAGCATAAGTATACTGGAACTCCAATATATTATAATGGAGTTCCAGCATAAGTATACTAGAACTCTAGCATATTATAATGGAGTTCCAGCATAAGTATACTGGGAACTCCGGCATAATATACTGGAGTTCCAGTATAATATACCGGTCTAGTATAATATGTTAGAAGTTTATACACGGGTGTTCCAATCTTCATTATGTTATGCTGGAACTTTTCGCGTGTTGGAATTCCAGCATAATATGCTAGAAGTTCATACACAAGTGCACCAATCTCCAGTATATTATGTTGGACTGATCCCTATTACAACAAAATAATAACTATTTTTTAATAACGTTACAAATATTAGCTATTTTTAAATGACCCATTCGAAAACTGGTTAGCCCGTGCTATTATAACTTTTGAGTAATGGATTCCTAAAAAGTCTTTGCTACTTCAGCTTTCAGCCTCCGGCCCTCTCTGGAACAGCCACGTAACATTTTTCTTCTATAAGTAAGTCTGAAAATTACCACCTGTTCTTTCCCGTAGCTTCCTTTTCATACAACTTACACTTGTCTTTTGATCTCTCGCTTGTGCTTCGTCTCATCAATGGTTGATCATAGTTTCTCAACTGCTGAGGAAAACGGCGGTGTTTATGCAAGTGGTGGTGCTGTTAACAGCAGTAACGTATTGGATATTTACCCACTGAATCATTATTATTTTGGTTCAAAAGAGGCTCTTCGGTTTAAGGAAGAGACTTTAGCTGATCGCGTTCTACGCATGAAACTGAAGTATGTATTCTTATATGTATCCTTAGGTTATTTTGCTCTCTTTCTATGTATATGTTGTTTGAGGTACGTATATGTGTATTTTGGATTTGATTTTAATTTCTTCGTTTTGTTTACTGATCGTTTGGTTTCAGCTATGATACTCATGGACTCAGGACATGTGTACAGGCTGTGCTTTTGGTTAGTTTCTAATTCCTGTCTTTTCTCTTTTCCTTTTCCAGAATCACGAGTAGGTAGTGCTTCAACTGTTCGATGGAAAGACCACACAAGTTGTATCGTTTATGATTTAGTAGTATAGTACTAGGAGTTATTTTGCCTGCACGAATTCTTCATATTTAGTTGGGGTAGGATGCTGCTCAAAGAAAAAAAATTAACTTTTGTGAATTAGTTTTTGTAAAGGTATATCAGATAAGTTTATCAATAAATGTGTCAGTTTCAGAGATTTGGATAAAAAATATCTTCAATGACCTAAATCTTGACATGTAGGACTTATCCGTTATGAAAGTAGAAAAGATCTAACCATTAGCCGTCCTGTAACATGATCTAATCAGAGATCTGGTTCGGGGACCTGAATATGAAGCACCTTTAGATACTCGGGATTTTCAGATACTCTGAATCCAGATTAGTTATACCAGTAAGTTTCGGATACCTAATGGTTCCCACACAAGAAAAAGACAAAAGCATCTCGACTTCTAATTTACCATCCCAAAAAGTGTTAAAACCTCATTTTAGAAATAATTGAAGGTTTCAGTTGTTGCAGTTGCAGAGCCACAAAATCAGATACTGAAACCTTTCTAGTCTCATAACGCAGGGATGATAAGCATGATTTAGCCACCAGTGTTCTTAAAAGCCTGGTTCAGGCACGCTTAAGCCTTGAAGCTCAGTGCGACAAGGCTGGTTGTCAAAGCGGTACTTTAGTGCAAGCACTAAGGCGTTAAGGTGTGTGTCTCAATACCATGGAGATTTATCCTAAAGATGGAAGTATTAAAGATAAATATAGCTAGCAAAATCATGAATAGTGAAGAAATCATGATAGATCAGTATGTCAGCGATTGGAACTAAAGAGATTAGAAATTTAGAATAAATAGATATCATCTATCTAATGTAGAAACTTAAAATCGCAGTGTGCATGTAAATAATATATTTAAAGTTGATTTTGCATCTGGTTGACAGTTGACACCATTTTATTTTATATAATATTGCGACAAAGTTACTAGTTTACTGCTGAAGGGAACATCGGATAACCTTCGAACAATGCAGATAAGATTGGCATGGCCCCTGTGCAAGGATGACACATACAAATCAAGAAATGACCAAACTTTTCCAAAACAACACGTGGTGTTTAGCTTTAAAAGTTGTATTTCTTGATCCTTTACTTCTTTCTCCTCAGTGAGTAGATAACTTGAACTTTTTGGGTTCTCATTTTGGAATTGAGCTCCAACAGGGTTCTCCTGCTATTTCATTATATGATCATAGGTACCGGCCCTATAGCTTTGTTTAATATCCACAATCAAAAGCCTCCATGCTAAAGTTCTTTCAGGGGAACATAGTGACCTAAGATGTAAGTTCTGTCCCCGTCCTTTATTAAACAACTTGATACTGCAACTAAGCCTGGTTGGTAAAATAAAGTGCTGAATAAGTAGAGCCATCAGCATGCTGCAGCTAAAACCTGGTTGATTCATAGACTGCAGAATAAGTAGGGTCATCCAGACAGTTCAGCAGTCAGTTGTGCAGCTTTCCAGGCTCTAAGTCTGCGATGGTATTTAATTTCCTGTATCAGTAGTTAAAATCAAAACAGTACCACAGATTGGAGTTTCCAACATCTGTCCCAATAGTTCAAGTTCCATAATTGGTGCATGATTGTTAAGTGACTGGTCTCAATACTTATTCATGTGACTTCTCATGGATGGTCTTAATAAGGGGTGTGATTTCAATCCAAAACAACTTAAGCTGCCAAAAGGCTTTAGGTACTCTTCTGGCATTCAAAATGCCAATTACCCATCTAACTACATACTGCGTATGGAAGGGACTATTCTTTGTGGTCATTAGATGATATACAATACATTGTATTGCAGGTCGAGTTGTTCAAACATCCACATGTATTATTATTGCAAGTACGAAATTCCATTTTCAAGCTTCCAGGTGGTCGTGTTAGGCCTGGTGAATCAGGTAGGATGATTTCTTCTCTCATTTTGTCCAATTTGAAGCTGGAATTTTCACAGAGCTTGAAGGATTATCCTTGTTTACTTATCACAGAAATTGAATGTCTAAGACGTAAGCTCTCAAGTAAGCTATCCATGAGCGAAGATGACAGCTGGGAGGTCTGTCAACGTTTGACATAACGTTTTGAAGTTTTTTTGCTAAGCATCTTCTAAATCTTTCATTTGATGTGTAGGTAGGTGAATGCCTTGGGATGTGGTGGAGACCTGACTTTGAAACATTGATTTACCCGTTTATGCCACCTGATACAAAAAGGCCGAAGGTACTTGGTCATAACATTCTGAAATTTATCTCATTTGCTGTATTTCTTGAAGCCGTAGTCCTTCCCATTGTGGGAGTGCACAACACTCCTTTTAGTAAGGTTGACTTCCTTTCTTTATAGGAGTGCACAAAACTCTTTCTAGTGAGGTTGCACGAAAGTTGCAAATTCATTGTACCGAAGAACCTTAAGCTTCTTGCTGTCCCATTGTGCCAAGTTCATGAAAATTTCAAGGTATTGTACCTTAGGCAACATTCATGAATAAAAAAGTAATATGGTGATTGACTCAATCTGCTTTGCTTTTACCACAATGGACTGTTACTAATGAGTAGTGTTGTCTAGTGCCTTTTGTACCTTAAATGACCATATTTTGATGTTATACTTGAAGAGTTAAGAAGCTAATTCATTCAACGCCCTGTTCTGCAGACCTATGGACCAATAATTGCCGGAGTTCCACAACTGCTATCAAAGTTCTCCTACAATATGATGGATTATGTCTGACCGGTGCCACAGTACAAGTTAAAGACAAACAGGGTGTTCGATGCTATTCTCGTCCCAGCACGCTATTTTAAGTGCTAGGTTAAAGTTTAGAAACCCAATACAGTTGTCACTTTCACATGTATATATATACTATGAGGAGTGTGTGTAAGCGAAGTTAAGACATTCAGGTTTTTTTTTTGTCCTTCATCTGCAGTGTCTGTTTCTGCCTTTATATTTGTATTGCCACTTGTAGTGAGCAAAATAAATTTTTCACCAAATAGTTTAACTGATGACATCCTTGTGGTTTTGCGATTGTGGAAAAACAATCCTTTATAGGAAAATATTCTATTAGCGTTATGTAGCTTGCTTTACAATATAAATTTGGGTTCAAACAATTTGATAGTTGACGATTGATTTAATTCCACCTTGAGGCAAATTCGAACATAATTTCGAAACAGCAAGAAAATATAACAACAAGTGTCTTTACAAATCAAAATTCAACTATAAAATGTACCCATATTTATCAATTGAAGCGGGAAGTAGCAACTCAACAGTCAACAGGTAACTATGGTTGAATTAATCGATGTCTCGTACTCTGTTATGTCTCAATTTTATGTCAAGCTGTATAGTTGGAAATTTATTGTATCACTACGAATATTTAACGTGTCTAATAATTCATTGTGTGACACCCAACACATAATTTTTCACAAAAAGTTTCACACCATATAATTACTTTTAGTATGAACTTTGTTTGTACACCAAGTGAGCTCTATGTATTGTGGCCAGCGGCAGACCTATGCTATACCGAAAGAGGTCACCGGCACTCGTAAAATTCGGCAAAAAATTCACGTATACTGTATGGGTCAAAATCTGACTGTAGTGGTCGTCCCTAAGAGGAACGATAAGGGGTCGACCAAACTATAATCATGCCCGAGGGACAAGATAGCAAAGAGCACCTCGGCCATCGTCGGGGTCAAATTGTCGAAAGTATATATCATAGAACAAGCATTGTGTTCGATGAACGACGAAAGGTACAGTCATAAGAAAGTACGCCGGTCAAAGACCATTGGATAAAAGAGAAAATTGCTAAGATATATATGGGGAGTTGAGTCCAGATAGGGGGGATTCTGGCTGGCCATGAGGAAGGAATTAACAAGGGAAATCTCTCTCTCATCAACAGTTCCTTCTCTTCCCCTCCCTTGCTTCCATGATTGTGGTGCAAGTCTGTCTTATATGTAAGCTTATCACTCACATCTGATGTATGGTCATTATATCAAGAAATATTATACATTCACGTTCTTCTTCGATTTTCGTACTTTATATATTCGAATCTAGGATTAATTATGTTTGGCTAAGATTTACACTCTATATCTCTAGTAATTAGTTCGACAAAAGGGTTTTATACTTTTTTGGTCAAACAATTTGGCGCCGTCTGTGGGAATTTCTTAGCCAAATTTCTTAGTTTCCTTCAGATCTAAAATCAGCGAAATGTAACCACCCACTCGAAAGAGTAGTAAATAAACCTCGCATGCTAATCTAGATCAGGCTGCTATATAAAAGTAGAAGTTATAACCAATATCCATGTAAAACCCACATCTCGCCAGTAGCAATGGATTTAGCACGACATATGCACGTCCAAAATAGGATCATGGTCATCTAGTGTGACCACATCCCCATTTGACACATTCATCTTGTATATTAACCCATGTTCCCACCCCTTATGAGAGGACGACACTTGTTGCTTAGTCCTTTGAAAGGGTGGACATATCCTGCCTTACTTCTACATTTCCCCACACATCGGATGGTCCATGAACGAAGTATGGCATGTCTCCCTTGATGTGGGTACGAATTGAATGAGATTGGACCGGGACTCGATTGCAACACTGCAGCAAGTGAGGCGAGCCCAACCCGCGCAAAGACGCTGCTAAAAAAGAAGCTGAACACGGTCGCCGAATCTAAAACCACCATTCCATCAACCATTCAAAGACAAGGCAGAGAAAGCAACACTACAAAGCCGCCTCCTTTCGCCAACTCGTTGGATCGAGGTACGGAAAAATTCATTTTGGTTTACCCTCTGTTGTTGGTTTAAACAGGAACACGAGCACCGCACGGGGAAGTGAGCAAATAAGCATCCCAACTAGAAACAATGGAAGGAAAACTACTACCAAATAATTGAAACGCTGCCCACCTCAAATACCACAACTCCTGAAAGAGGATACCCCTCAAGTCGTACTCTCTCTCCATTACCCGAGTTTCGCCCCAATCGTGTTCTTGGAGAAGTTTTTAACGAGGCGACGAGGGGGATGTCCAGAAGTTCAAAGTATAATTCATCGCCCCGCCTGCCGATGACCTCTCTGGGCTGAACGATGAAGGGGCTAGATACATGGAAACTGCTCCAATATATATACGAAACGAACATGTATAGCATTCTCCAGTGAATGAAACAGAGCAACATTTTGTACTCTCTATCATAATATTCTCCAATGAAAGCAAGGTTAAGCAAATGGGGACTCACCAAGGAAACACACAAAAGCTAACTAGGACACACCCAGGAAATGCAGAGGTTAAGCAAAATTGGGACTCCCTCAGGGACACCCAATATTCTCCAGTAAAAACAAAACCGAGCACGCGAGGACTCACCCCGACGCACGCGTAAATAGTATGGCAACTTGTAAAAGTTCTCCAAAATCTACGACAATGAAACAATGGGTTAACATTTCGACCTTAACTCGAAATAACATCCCTACGGCCAAAGGCTCTCATCAAAAGAAGAATTCGACCTCGCTCGAATCATAATGGGTTAACATTTTGACCTTAACTCGAAATAATACCCCTACGACCAAAGGTCATCGCCAAAAGAAGAATTCGACCTCACTCGAATTACAACGGGTTAACATTTTGACCTTAACTCGAAATAACACCCCTATAGCCAAAGACCATCGCCAAAAGAAAAATTCAACCTCGCTCGAATTATAACGGGTTAACATTTTGACCTTAACTCGAAATAACACTCTTACGGCCAAAGGCCATTACCAAAAGAAGAATTCGACCTCGCTCGAATTACAACGGGTTAACATTTCGAATTTAACTCGAAATAACACCCCTACAGCCAAAGGCCATCGCCAAAAGAAGAATTCGACCTCGCTCGAATCACAATGGGTTAACATTTCGACCTTAACTCGAAATAACACCCCTACGGCCAAAGGCTATCGCCAAAAGAAGAATTCGACCACGCTCGAATTACAACGGGTTAACATTTTGACCTTAAATCGAAATAACACCCCTATGGACAAAGGCCATCGCCAAAAGAAGAATTCGATATCACTTGAATTACAGCGGGTTAACATTTCGACTTTAACTCGAAATAACACCCCTACGGCCAAGGGCCATCACCAAAAGAAGAATTCGACCTCTCTCAAATTATAACGGGTTAACATTTCGACTTAACTCAAAATAACACCCATATGGCAAAGGGCCATCGCTAAAAGAAGAATTCAACCTCGCTCGAATTACAACGGGTTAATATTTTGACCTTAACTCGAAATAACACCCCTACGGCCAAAGGCCATCGCCAAAATAAGAATTTGACCTTGCTCGAATTACAACGGGTTAACATTTTGACCTTAACTCGAAATAACACCCATACGACCAAAGGACATCGCCAAAAGAAGAATTCAACCTCGCTCGAATTACAACGGGTTAATATTTTGACCTTAACTCGAAATAACACCCATACGACCAAAGGACATCGCCAAAAGAAGAATTCAACCTCGCTCGAATTACTACGGGTTAACATTTCGACCTTAACTCGAAATAATACCCCTACGGCCAAAGGCCATTGCCAAAAGAAGAATTCGACCTCGCTCGAATTACAACGGGTTAACATTTCGGCCTTAACTCGAAATAACACCCATACGGCCAAAGACCATCGTCAAAAAGAAAAAAGTTCGAACTCGCGCAAATAAAAGTCAGAAAGTGACCTCGCTCTAGACGGCGACGCCAAGTTCGAACCCGCTCGAATACATATGAAAAAATTGACTTCACCTAAATTGGCAAGTCAGAAGTGAATCCCACTCGAATGGCCAAGACGAAACTGACTTCGCCCAAAATGGCGAATCCGAATTCAACCTCGTTTGAATCAAGGGTGATTCCGCCTAAAGCGACAAATCAGATGTCAATCTCAACCGAATACGCGAGTTCAAAGCAACTTCATTCGAACTCACACGATGAGACCCTACTCGATCCGATCGAGGTCGGATTCCCAAATCGAAAAATCAGGGACTCACCACGCAAAGATCCGAAGGTCTACACCAAAAACAAAAGATTTAACAAGCAAGGGGAAGGAAAAGAAAATCAAAGGGTATACAAAAGCGAAACAACTTTCTTATTTATATATATGTGCGCAACAGCCGCACCTTACACAAGGCTAAAACGGGCAAAAAAAAAAGAGAAACAAAAATGAAGAACAAAAAAAACTTAGACTAAGGCAACAACTTTTCACTCGGCGTCATCACCGCCATTCCCCCCATCGTTATCTCTAAGAAATTCCTTCTCAACATCAGCATCCTCGCCGGCCTCCGGTGATCCCACACGAGCCTTTCGTGCCTTCGTCCGGGCTTCTTCATAAGCGGCCTCAGAAATATTGTCCGCCTCCCACAAACTCTTGTATATGTCACGTTGGGCCTCGGCATGAAACCAGAGCTCGTGCAAGTGGCGAGGAACAACAGTAAAGGCAAATTCAACTTAGGCCAATAATTGTACTTTTTCGGCCTTAAGTACGGCGACCCGATCTCCCAAGTTTGAAGCTTCCCGGTCAACTTCACCAATGCGCTCTTCAAGCCTCGCCTCCCTTAGCGTGGCCATTTCCCTCTCGGGTTCCTGCTCGGATTGAAAGACGCGGATAGTGTCCTCCAATGCCACCGCCCTTGATGAAGCCTACGCCCGATCACTCTCGGCGCTCTCCAACTCGGACTCTTTCCTCTCCAGCTCGGCTAATTTCCCCATCCACTCCGCACTCAAAGCCTCAACTCTGACAGTATTTTGATCTAGCTCGAACTGCAATGACAACTCCTTTGCCTAAAGATGCTCACACTCTACGGCGACCCTTTTTCCCAACTAGAGTTCCTCGTCCTTTACACGAAATAGCTCCTCAAGCTCACTGTTCCTGCGAATGGACTACATTAGCTCCTAATACTTTTTCTCCAGCTCCTCCCCAAGATATTAGTTACTGGCGCTCGCCCTGAGCCGCTCATGCATCTCGCGGCACTTGTTACAGTAACGCAGATAATTTTCCAACATAATCAGAAAAA